TCTACCTGCTGACTATCCTACTTCTTTTCCCACTATTTTGACTCTCTTTGCCTAGAAAAAAACACACATGAACTAATATAACGTCAACATTATACAAACCTCTTTCTCACAGTAGTATGAGTTCATTAGGATGACAAAGACACATGTATTAAGATAGGGCATATTTTCATTGTCGTGCAGACTGACTAGCTGAAACCAGTTTTCTCTTCTCCTTAGATGTGAGTGGACTTCATTTTTGAGCTTCCCAGTCCAGGCTCATGAAAAATGCCCACGTGCCTTTTACCATGTTCTGTCACTTCTGCCAGCTTGATGCCCAGGAGCTTGGTGACTGAGGGAGCCACCTACCCAGATGGTGACAGCGATGGAGCCTTGGTTCCTCCAAGCGCCTTCCACCCATCAGCCCTTATCTTAACTTCTTATGAGCAAGAAACTAACTTCTATTGTGTGTAACCACTGACATTTTGGGTTTTAACTCTGTGACAACCACAGCACCCTACCTAGAGGATGCTGTTGATGAGGAATTATTTTCTTCACAGTGCTACACAGCGATGAAGAAAACATTAAAATGTTCTAGAATTTTGAATGAGAAGACTACTCCATTACTATTTACCGGGTGGAGAGCTGGTGAATTTTTAACAATCAGCTCTGGTGGGGTGGGAATGGAATCTTTGAATTATCGTGCATTTGCCTATCGTCATGGTACAAATACTCTGGGCATGGCCAATTAAAACCGACCACGTGACATCACTAAACTCAGAGACGGGACCCTCCAGAATCAGTGCAGGCCGTCTTCAGAACACCACTGCACCTTCCCCGCATGGGAGAATCAAGGGTTCTATGTGCATCAGAAAAAACAAATAGTTGGAAAAAGATATTCCAGTATGATTTCCAAGGCGTGATTAAAGCAAACAGCATCAAGAATTACCCACTTCTGGGCTTCCCTGGTGGCGCAGTGGTTGAGAGTCCGCCTGCTGATGCAGGGGACACGGGTTCGTGCCCCGGTCCGGGAGGATCCCACATGCCGCGGAGCGGCTGGGCCCGTGAGCCATGGCCGCTGAGCCTGCGCGTCCGGAGCCTGTGCTCCGCAACGGGAGAGGCCACAACAGTGAGAGGCCCGCGGACCGCAAAAAAAAAAAAAAAAAAAAAAAGAATTACCCACTTCTCAAGAGAAAATAACTACATTTATGTAATAGCCTTTACTCAGGATGTTTGACTGATTTAACGAACTAGTAGTTTGAGTTTCCATAGGAAGTAGATAAATACCCATATACTTTAAGTGGCTTCATCATCAAAATCAGCCGCTCATAGATGGCAATGTTTTTTTTTTGGTTTTTTTGGTTTTTTTTAACATCTTTATTGGGGTATGGCAATGTTAAATAGTACAAAACCCAGTGAAATTCAAACTGGATTCCAATCTTACATACAGCATTTTCTATCTATGTCCTGGAGCAAAGTACTCAAGACTTCTAAGATTTTTCTTTTAGTATATAAAAAGGAATTAATATGTCGGGCTTTCTGGGATATTTTAAAAATAGGAGAAGGTTTGCAAAAAAGAAATGTCTGGCACAAAGTACTCAATGAATGGTAATTATTCTTGTCAGGAATATATTATGAGCATCTATGTGTCCCAATTATTGCATACATGGGATGTGTAAAGAGAATCAGAGAGAGGTAAAGGCACTTCCCACAAAGTGCTTCAATGTTACCTCTCCTTTTTATTTTCTGGAATTCTCCAGACACAAGGTCTTTGCATTTCTGTTCCCTCTGCCTGGAATGTTCTCGCTCTGACAGCTGAAGACTGTGTAGTTAGCACCCTCTGTCCCCCCAGGTCTGCACTCAAAACCCCCTTCTTCA